TGTTATTCCTATTTAAAAAAAAGTTACAAGGTCAGCAAGAGAAGTAGTAAAACATGCTGGGGGGAGAGAACAGGGTTTTGGTCCTCCACTAATTTAGCAGAAGCAAATTTTGATTGTAACTTATTACTAAAATCAGTTTGAACATGTCTACTTTTTAATTGTGTGCATCCCCATCACCAGTACAGAATATATGATTTTTGTTTCCAGCAATGCAGAGAGAAAATTGGAGGCCAATAATTAAAAAGAAGCGATTACTACCCACCACCAAGAATTCAGCATTAGGACCTGAGTGGCTAAGATAATTAACACTGAGAAATAGTTCTTCCAGAGTGACTCTGGTCATTTCTTATTTTTACTAAGAGGAAATTATATTAGATTTTAAAGAGTCAGCTATTTACCATATTTTCTAAGACTTAAATTATTTCTCATTTCTTGATAATATGCTTTAAAAGTCATATGACATCAAGAGAACATTATTTATCCTTGTGTGCACCTTAAGCCACTGGCACTACTGAAGAACACTGGTTTCATACTCCAAAATGTGTAAGTAATTTTTGAAGACAAAGTGTAGCTGAAACAGATTTTCAATACCCACTGAGCTAGCTGCTAAGCTCTTAACTGGCACTCAATGATTTATTCTTGAGAATATGGCTTATTGCCACATACATTCATTTTCAAACATCACTTACTAAACTTTCAGAACAACTGAAAATATGTAGGAACAAAAGTGTACAAGTTCATACGTGTAAACTGTTTTTAAATCAAGAGATTTGACAATAATTTCAGCTCAGCTATTATCTGAAAACACACTTGTGAGACTAAGGAAACAGAGCATTCCATACCAGAAAAGAAACTGTCAACAAATAGCATCATCCTATATTCTGGTGCCTATAATGCTTTCACTAAATGATTTCACTCTAAACAAGTTCCTGTTGAGTGGCCTATTATCAAGAAAAATTCTTGAAAACACTTTCAAGGAAATAACACTTCAAATACCCTCAATAGAGACAGATACAAGACAACTAGCCTTCTTGGGGGACAGAAATGGGATAAACTAGATGTATTCTTAAAAAAAATTCTGTATTCATGAATTTCTCAAGAAACCTTGCCAAACTACAGTCCATCTCAGGTACTACTGAAATGCAGCAATACCACTAACTTGGGAGGTTATGCATGGTGCACACAGCAAGTGCTCGGTTACTGTTTTATTTTTAACTCATAAAAAAGCTAAAGTTCAAAATATTTATCTCATGTACACAACTCAACTACTAACAAACAGAAATACATAAAGAGATTTTTTATTTGGCTTGCTTCAAAACAATCTGATCAAAAGCTTTCTTTAATACAGGTCTTCTAACAACCAATTTTAAGTATCTAGAAATTAACAAAAACCAGGAAATTAATCACTCAACATTTTCAAATTTGTACAGCTAATTTTCACATTATGCTCAAACTGAGACCTCCAGGAAGTAAAAAAGCTGAATCAGGAGTAGCAGATATGCTAAGAATTCTGCTTCTGTCATCCACTTTCCTGAACCCTCCCCAATTCTGATTTTAGCAGACTGGAAAACACACAGCTGATTACCATGGTGTCAATGTTTTGGTTTCAACAGTCTTTGCCAACACTGCATGCACTGCCCAATGAGGCCAGAAAAATCTGGCATTTACTAAACTACCCAGATAAATGTGAAGTAGGTAGCAGTCTTTATATACTTGGAACACAGGGGCCACATAAAGCATACTAGCAGAAAATAAAAATTACTCTGGCCTTTCAGATGTGGACAAAAAAATTGTAAAAAATATATAATTCATTATATTCTAACCCAAATAATGGGCTTTTTTAAAACTACAAAGTAATTTCATAAAATATATATTCTGCAGTCCTATCTTAAAAAGTACTAGAGTAAAACTCCTATTTCCCTTTCATAGAGTATCTGTTTTATTTTAAAATTACTACTGTTAGCTTGTAAAATTTAAGTCTAAAGTCTGACCTAATTTCTAGCATCTAATCAAACAATACAATTCCCCAGAGAATCAGGGATCAGCACACTACAGCCTGCAGGCCAAACAAATGTAGCCACAGCCTATTTTTTCTACTGGCCACAAGCTAAGAATGATTTTTTTGCATTTTTAAAGGGTTATAAGAAAATAAACTACAACAGATATCACTATGGCCTCCAAAGTTTAAAACACTTATTATCTGATCCTTCTAAATGAATGTCTTTTTCCTACCAACCTGAATATAAATAATTCTTAGTTTTGTGTTTTAGGTTCATGCTCAAGACTAAAACTTAGGGTATGAAGCAAGTAGCTGCTGATAAAATTCAACAAGAGTATGCATATTTAGTTTGCTCAAACAACAAATAAGTAATAGCAGATAAGTAACAAAACACTGCAGAAAATAGGGCTTCAAATTTTCACAAAAACTGGAAACGTAAAATTTATAAAAATTTACATATATCATATTCTCCACAATTACTTGGAATAGCTCTTTAAAGTCTTCCAAAAGCATGCAAATATCAAATAAATTTCAACAGAGAAAGATTGAATAAACTTTTGAAAGGCAAATCAACAAGTCCATGAGATAAAAAGAAATCAAAGATCAGAAATTAAAGTATCTCAGTTATAGTTTAGCAACAAATTTTATAAAGATATAAAGTAGGTTATAAATATAAGAAAAGCTGAGCATTAGAAGAAATAAAGTACTACAAGTATTCTTTCATATTACTCTATATTTTAGATGATCTACATAAATGTCAACAAAGCAAATTTAAATTAATCTACTTCCATATCATACATACTACATTCACACTCCCTACCCCCCCAAAAAAACTGTAAAAGCTACAAAATCTACTTTAAAAGGAATCCAGGTAATTTTCTGATTATTATGAATGCTGTGGTATATTAAAGCATTAACGTCAAACACTAAGAATAAACTGTACTTCTTAGGTAGTAACTATACAACAAGAAAGAAGACACAGCTATTTTAGGCTCTTAAAGTAGAGGGCAACATTGTCAGAATAACAGACAACTCCTTTTTACTGTCTTCTGTTGTCTTTCTACCCCAAGTGTGGTCCATGTACCAAAATCAGCATCACCTGAGAGCCTGTTAAAAATGCAGGACCACAGGTCCCAACCTGAACCCACTGATCAGAATCTGGATTTGAATAAGAAGCCTACTCCATTCATATGCCTATTAAGAAGCCCTGCTCTATTTGCAACCCTTTTTACCACATTAGGCAAAATCAGGTTTTTAATAAAAACTAAACTAAAATATTAAGTAATGTCTAAAAAGCATCTTTTAAAAGTTACAAATAGTGCAAGTTAATAAAATGTAATGGTATGATTTAGTAGTAGGCAGTACGTTGACAAGTATTTTCAGTAACGTTCCTTGTATTTTACATTTTCATAAAAAAATGTTGGGAGAAAAGTTATAAATATTATAATCATGTTTTCTGAGTACCTCCTCTATAATGCAAATCACGAAGTCTGGTTAGAGAAGACCAGTAAAAAGAAGACAAAAACCAAACTTTTCCCAGTCTCTGGGACCTGGGAATGGATTTGAATGCAATCTCAATTCCTCTAAAGTGAAGTGAGAAGTGCTATATACCAACTTCTTTCTTTAACCTATAAATCAGGCTTTAGAATGAGATATTTGTACTATAATCAAACTATAGAAATTCAGCTTTTAATCCCTCCAAAAAAGACTTAAAATAGAATTCATTGTTTCTTCAGTGTGTATCAGACTTGTACAATCAGGAAGCAGTACATATGATCTTCCACTAGCGAAACAGACATATATACACTAGCTGAATGATTTTTATCCCTTTATAAATTCAGTGAAAGTTACAGAATACCTGTTTTTATGTTTAAACATGTAATGAGTTGTTCATCAATTTTCTAACCTCCTAGCATTACAGAAGTTAAATTCCACAAAATTGGTTTTCTGGGTCACAGGTACATGTTACTAGCAAAGCCCAAAACAAACATTCAACTTGTATGGAATATAAAATTGATCAATTTCTCAGTATATGAAAATTATATTCCACCATATCATTATGTATTCCTTTCTAGAATTTTTTCCTATATATTAAACTCTCATTTCATACAAATAGGTTAAATAATGTCAACTGAAATTATTGTAACTAGAGAAAAAGTCACTTTCAAAAATGATAATTTTTGAAACAAAACTGAGTTAATATGGCATTAATTTTTGTCAGAACAATACAGTAAATGAATAACTGAGAATTTCAATTTGCTTTCTAAATATCCTTTTGCTTTAATGAAAACTTTCTCCAAAAATAAATATATCTTAAAAAAAATTCTACCAAAAGAGGTATGGGGAGATGGGGTGGCTGGGTGATGGCCATTGGGGAGGATATGTGTTGTGGTGAGTGCTGTGTATTGTGTAAGACTGATGAATCACAGACCTGTACCCCTGAAACAAATAATACATTATATGTTAATGATAAAAGAAAATTTAAAAAATTCTACCAAAATAAAATTCGTCAAACATAATAAAACTTAATCTAGAAACACACGGCATAATACCCTTCAAAACACTTCTAAAATAGGAATCAGTATTTGTTCCCTTGTTCTTTGACTTTATAAATATGTTAAAAAAAAAAAAATCCCTGTATTTCTTGAATGCTTAATGTAAGATGTGCTGAGTTGAAGAGAAATATTCAATGTGGAAAGAAACCAAAGCCAAAAGTAATACCATGGACACTGGATTAAAAAATGCTGCCTTACATATCCTTAACTAGAACATTTACCAAATAAACATTGTTTTGTTTTCTATTTTAGCATAATGAAAGAAAAATTAAGTTACATTAAATGATGTAACAGTTATGCTATCAGGTATGTACATTTATTAATGTTCTTGCCTTCCTACCCTCAAAATGGTGTTACCAGAATATATGTTAGCAAATTATGATAATTAAAATTTTTTGATATAGGTTTACAGAGAACAGATTCATATTTATTACAATTTTACCTACCTGTCTTGTCTTTGCTGATGTTTCAATAAAAGGAATTCCATAACTTCTTGCTAAGTCCTGAGCCTGTTTTGTGTCTACTGTTCTAGAAGGCAAATCACATTTATTTCCTACTAGGACCATAGGTACATCTTCAGAGTCTTTAACTCTTTTTATTTGTTCTCTGGGGAGGGAAAAAAGAAAAACACATTACAGCAGAGACATTAGTAACAAAATATATCTTTCAAAAATTGTCCATAATTCTGTCTTATAAAATATGGCTGAAAGAAGACATTTAAAGTAATTTCTAGTTTCCAACCACACCAAATTTTCCTTGCTTCTCCTTCTATTTATTTTTTTCTCCAATTTAAAGAGAGAATTTCTATGTCCCTTAAAAGATAAAATACCAAAAAAATATGGTAAAACTACAACCTAATAGGTCCATATGCAGGTAGGTCACAATGATAAAACAGAAAATATTGAAAAAATTCTAGGCTAAAAATGTGCTGTGCCTAATTGTTAAAATTATAATCTTAGGAACATATACTATGTTATTAAATGTACATGTATTTATTACAAAAACATGTAAGGATTACAACACTGACATAATTTTCACGTATCTTTCTCAAAAAGGAGAGCACCAAGTGGAAAGATTCTGATTTGTATGTGGATAACATTGACATTACTACACTGTTTATTCTGTTAAAAGTCCTTCTACACGTTGATTTTTTTCAGTAAGATGTGCATAAACTCTAAATTTGGGGTAAAGTTATATTCTTTTACAATTTTAGGTGAATTTCAAAGACAGAGCATGGAATAAGAAGTAGAGAATGGAGTAAGAACTGGTTCAAATTCCCAGTTCCTCTACTCAATAGCTAAGTAACCTTTATAGCTTAACATACTGACACCTATTTACTATTCTACAAAAAGTCACCCATTCAAATTTCTTTTTCTCTATCACTAGACTACAAAGAAAACATGCTGTAAGAAATGTATTAAAATGTTACTAACTCACTGTTATAGAACATAGCTAATGAATGGGATATTTAATATGCACTTTGAAAAGTGTAAACCCTCAAAGAAATAGAATATAAATTATATTTAATACAATAACAATTATTTTAAAGTAGTCAATTTTATGCAGATTTGCCAGATTCTTTAAAAACTGTAATTGTTCCAGTATTTCAATCTTTTACAACTTCAGAGTTTGTTTTTCTTAACTATCTAAAGCCAATGTTTATCTAGTTCCAAGAAATTCTACACTATACTCGATTATTTTTAAGGCTATTTCAGTGGTACCACCTCCATTACCGTTTCATATTTTTGTTGATGGTATTCATTTTTATGATGGCTCTGGCTTAAAGCCTTGCAGTGGTTAACAGCACAGATTTTGAAGTCAAACAAGCCTAGGTTTCAATTCCAGCACCACTATCTATGCAATCTGGAACAAGTTACTCAACTGTTCTAATCCTTAAGAACTTTATTTGTAAAACAGGGATATATTACCTACCTCATTATTATTTTAAAATTCAGATTAGATAAGTTATGCATGGTAGTCAGCAAAGACTCAACAAATGAAAGATATAATTACTCCTCAATGTCATCTTACTATATTCAATTTAAACCCACCTATAATGGTGAATATCTTCAAAAGATTTAGTATTATTTATGGCAAATACACAAAGAAAGCCCTCCCCAGTCCTCATGTACTGGTCCCTCATTGCACTGTACTCCTCTTGACCTGCTGTGTCGAGAATATCCAAGAGACAGGTTTCTCCATCAATTACTACTTGTTTCCTGTAGGAATCCTAAGAAGGGAGAAACACAGTCTGGATTATTATGGTGCACCTTTTACTTTTAAAAAGGTGTTATATGCAACCCAACAACAAAAAGACAACCCAATTCAAAACGGGGTAAAGGACCTGAATTGACATTCCTCCAAAGAAGATAAACAAATGTCCATTATGCAAATGAAAAGATGCTCAACACATCGTTAGGGAAATGCAAATCAAAACCACAAGGAGCTACCATTTCACACCCATTAGGATGGTTATTATTTAAAAAAAAGGGGGGGGAAGACAAGTGTTAGCAAGGATGAGGAGAGACTGGAAATTTTATACGTTGCTGGTAAAATGGTACAGGCATTGTAGACAAGTTTGGCAGTTCCTCAAAAAAAATATAGAACTACCATATGATCCAACATTTCTGTGCCTACATATATAACCAAAAGAATTGAAAGCAGGAAGTCAAACAGATACTTGTATGTCAATGTTCATTGCAGCATTATTTAGAATAGCCAAAATGTAGAATATATACACAGTGGAATGTTATTCAGCCATAAAAAGGAATGAAATTCTATATATGTTATAACATGGAAGAATACTGCAAACATTATGCCAGACACAAAAAAAGGGCAAATAACTGTCATTCCACTTATATGAGGTACCTAAAAATAGGTAACGTCACAGAGACAAAAAAGTAGGATAGAGGTTACCTGGAACAGGGGGAGAAGAGATTTGAGAATTATTGTTTAATGGACACAGGGTTTCAGTTTGGGATGATGAAAAAGTTCTGGAAATAGAGCTACTGGTTGCTCAACATTGTGAATTTGCTTAATTCCACTGAACTGTACACTTAAGAATGGCTGCGATGATATATAAGATATATAAGATATATGTATATATCTTACCACAATTTAAAAAAAAGGTTTCCAAAAAAGTGTTATGCAGAGATTCAACAATGCAAGTGTTCATATTATTAACAAAAAGACCCAAATGCTCTATGAAAGAAAATAATTATTACAAAAATGGGATAGCTCTACCAACTCTATTATTCAGAATAGGATGATTTAAAATGGCAAGAAAAATCAATCAATTTACAAATAATTGTCATGCATCTATTTTACTTACAGTCAGAAGAATATATAAGAGAAAGGTCAATACTGAGGACTTTAATGCCCTTATCCATTTCTGAATCCTGGGAAGAATATGTAACAGCCAGATGGATACTACGGTAACTCTAGAGGGCATGACTGTTTTATCCACAAATTCTATGGGGCTTCTATAAAAGGGGGAGCAAGGAAGGGAGAAAGAGATGGATATCTTAAAGAGACTGTGCAACTCTAAACCTTAATAAAAGGAAAGGGAGTGGGTAACAGAATCTTAAAATGAAAATGTGATTTTCCTCTGACTTTTGATTAATACTTATGCCTAAAAGACTTCATGTACTCTCTGCCAAAACAGGACTCAAAAAAGTAAGGAAAAGGGATGGTGCAATGTGAAGTCATGGAATAAGAGGCAGGGCTAAAAATGGGTATAAAGTATAAACCAAGGACACTTCCTTATTGTTCCACATGTAGGCTATAGTATTAAAGTGCCCTTAGTTCAGGAATTACTGCATAGACTACTCTTACCATTAAGAAAAAAAGAATGGTCATTAAAAATCATGTTTTTGGTATTATTATACTTTATAATGTATTATTATACATTATTATACTTTTTTTTCAGATATTTCTGAAAAATCTTTATAATAGAACACAAAGATATATATGTAGCAATCCCAAATACATGCATTTATCTATATAAATTTATCAGTATATACATTTAAAAACTGGTGGTATATACATCAAAATGCTAAAAGGGTAAGTTTTTGATAGAGTTAATTTAAGAAATAAGTAACATATCTTGCTTATCTTTTTATTTTTTTGGTACTAGATACTATATTAAAAATATTCCTTTCTATGAATTTTAATTTTTAAAAGTGCAAAAAACTACCATATTAGACTATGATCTCATGCTTATCTTTTAAAGTAAACTATACTTTCTAAATTGTCTATAATAAAAATTAATTATCCATCAGTCAGAAAAAAAGGATATCTATTTACTTTCTAAACAAGAAGGTATTTACTAAAGATTTGAACATTTGGTTGGCATTTTATTATTTTAACCTATTCCCTTAACTACTTGAAAGAACTCCTGTATATTATAAATTGAAAACCAGTGTTTTTGAAGTATGATGGAACAGCAGGAATTGAAGCAAAGTACAGTGTCTTAAAGTCAATCCATTCATTACCCAGGTGTAGCTATAGACCAAAGACTTTCTTTACCTATTGCTGTCACCTCACATTCTTCACTTACCAATGCTAACTTAAGTTAACCTTACAGTTGATAGTTTCCTTAGTTTTTACATCTAAAATTTTCTCCCAACTATAAAATTAAAGACCATAGTTTCTGGAGCCTAAGGCGTGGCTGGGGAATTACTCACTATCCACCCACATATAATACCTCCAAGATGTACCTCAATGAATTCCCATTTACAAATTTTTGAAACACTGTGTTCCAAAAGTATATAATGTGGAATATTAGTATTTTCTTTGTATATTTCATAACATGTTTCCATGATGAATATTTTCTCCATCAAAGGAACTGAGAAACTGGAAAAACAGTCCTTATTCACCAGTACATTTCATTCCCATTATCTTTTCCCTTCTAAACCCTAAAAAAATTGCCAGCAAAGTTCTGAGTCACACTCAGTTATTGAAAAAAGTAATCTAAACCTACGTATGGGCAGTGAGTAGAATACCCTGATTAGAAATAATAGTTTTAGGGGGGTGGGAGGGATTGGGTGGCTGGGTGATAGACATCGGGGAGGGTATGTGCTATGGTGAGCACTGTGAATTGTATAAGACTGATGAATCACGGATCTGTACTTCTGAAACAAATAATGCAATATAAGTTAAGAAAAAAAAGAAGAAGAAGAAGATGGGGAAGAATGAAGGGGAGTAAGTCGGAGGGGGAGACGAACCATTAGAGACAGAAAAACAAACTGAGGGTTCTAGAGGGGAGGGGGTGGGGGGATGGGTTAGCCTGGTGATGGGTATTAAAGAGGGCACATTCTGTGTGGAGCACTGGGTGTTATGCATAAACAATGAATCATGGAACACTGCATCAAAAACTAATGATGTAATGTATGGTGGTTAACAGAACAATAAAAAAATTATTAAAAAAAAATAATAGTTTTAGTTTAAAAATTCAGTATTTCCAAAGTTAATTCTAACTAGAGTTATCCTAGAAGTGCAGTCACTGAGCTATATAAAAAGGCAACACAACTTGGTAAAAGCTTAAGAACAAAGTGTTAAATGGCAAAATATAATCTGAAAAGAACGGACAGGTGTGGTGACAAAGAAGGCAAGCACAACAAAAATGACATATAAATACTAAAGATTTTTGTTCTAACTTCAGGTTAGCCATAAGAAAAGAAGTATATGGAAGTAGAAAAAATTTACATCAATGTAGACTCTTTCCCAGGATCAGAGTCTAAATAAGGGTTCAACAAACTACTGGCCCACAGGCCAAATCCTGCCCACCTGTTTTTGCATGGCCCACAAACTAAAAATAGTCTTCGTGTTTTTAAATGGTTATTTAAAAAAAAAAAAAGGCAAAGATTATGTGATGAAGACCTTTACAGAAAATGTGGTCCTTTGCAGAAGAGTTTGCCAACCCCTGCTCTAAGCTAATAACTTTTCACAAATCTGAAGCATTCTCAATACGTTATTTATTCTTTTTACACTTAAAAAAAAATCACCACTTTGAGAAAGTGCAGGTTATCAAAACCCAACCAATTTAAATACACATAGATTCGATAATGAAACTAGTTAAGAATGAAGCAAGAAAAGGATCAAGACTTTTTTTTTTTTTTTTTTTTAAGTAAGCTCTATGCCCGATGTAGGGCTCAAACTCAGGACCCTGAGATCAAGAGTTCCATGTGCTACCAAACTGAGCCAGCCAGGAGTCCCAAGACCTTACATTTCTAATTAGTATTATTTCCAGCCTTTCAAATGGAATAAACTTTTAGATCGGGTATATAGGTTACTAACGTTCTTTGCAAAAGAGGGTAAAGCCACTTAAATTAATTCAGTATAACATTAATTGAAGGAAAGTTATTCCACATATTTTCCTTTGCTCCCAGCTAAAGTGCTATTTTTTAATTTGCTGAAGTGGTTAAAAAACAAAACAAAACAACCTTTCTAAAAGAAATATACCATGCTGGCAAAAGTTAATCTTGATAGAGCACAAACATTTCTGGTGATACAATAAACAGGCACAATCCTTTCGGAAAGCAATTACAGTATTTATCAAGAATCATACAATGTTCATAGCCTTGGACACTGCAATGCTAGTTCTGGTAAATGATGCTGAGGAAACATCGTTTTATCTTTTTTAAATGATAGTTATAATAGAGATATACTAAACGTGGCATCCTAAAAAAATTACATAGGCATTTAATACTGACCCACAATCTTGCTATTTATCTATTTTCAAAATATACTTCACATCCAAGCATCCACCACCACCATCACCCTAGTTCACGACAACTGTTTTGTCTCATGCAATTTCTTACAACTGCTTACAACAGAGATCCCTATTGTTACTCTTATATGTTCTCCACAGAGCAGCTAGTGATCATTTTAAACGTAGGTTAGACCATGTCACTCGCTTGCTTTAGGACTTCTAGTAACACCCCTTCCTTTTTAAAAATAAAATCCAAAGAACTTACCAGTCTTCTTCAGCACGTCTGTATTTCCTTCACAGAATGTATTATAATATATAACTATGGTTTAAGTGTATACCCGCTACTATGCTGTGAACTCCATGATGGTTGGGCTCACATCTGCTCTCTTCACTGTACACCCTATGTGTAAAGTCTTGAATACCACAGGCAACCAGTACTGTCTGATGAGTAAATTCAACATAAATATATGCATACACTATAACAGTCTTATAGAAATAAGCACAGGTTTAAGATACTG